TTTTTTTTTTTTTTTTTTTTTTTTTTTTTTTTTTTTTTTTTTTTTAACCCTGCAAATGACGTTACTGAGGCACAGTAATGAGGGTGCACACCAGTGCTTGAGAAGTAGGAAACTTTTAAAAACCACACACTGGCTACAATTTGTGTAATGGATTTTATCGCAGGTGTGCTGTGTGGAGGATGCAAATAACACCTCAAAAGGCTCACGTGATGATTCATTACAAGGGTCATGCTTAGGTGTTTAACGTAACAACTTGCTGCAGGCGCTCAGTGTACATTATACTGGCTTGCCTTAGCAAATTGCCTGCAAAATCTTTTAGCACAACCATCTGGATGGCCCTGAGAAAGGAATAGAGGGTCTCATGTAGGGGACTTGCACGTGCTGATGACTGAGATTTAACTTGTGTTAAGTAACTGTCCATCTGCCTCTCATTCCTGAGCCACCTTAGATGGTGCACTAAAGAGACAGGATGATTAAAAAAAAAAAAAAAAGGCTAATAGGCTTTTGAGCTGCTTTTGACCAAGCACCAGAATCTTTCAACTGCTTTATAAATCACTGAGATGCATTTATGGAAATGTTTTGCTTATTTTGTGATTCCAAGTATTGGATTAACACCATAAGATACTAGTTTTGAATGATATTTTGGCCTCTGGCACTGTCTAGCTATTCTCTAATTGAGTGATTAATCTACTCATATGAATGTGGATAAAACCTTACAGTTGATGAATAAAAAAGCAGAGAAAGGATGCTTTATGTTTTCATTGCATTATAAACTTATGAATGACTTCAGAGTTATAATACCACATGCTTAAAACCTTAATAAAGGAATTCATACTTCTCTGCATCTGATGCACAAGCAGCACTAACACTGGCCCATGTTTGGGTATGCATGCTGCTGTTGTTCAGGGCTTGGCTCTTAGGGTTGTGGTGTGGGGTTTGTGCTGTGTGTATTTTAAGAGCTTCTGTTTCCAACCTGTCCTGCCTGCATGCTCAGCCCTTGTACCACAAATTCTGTGCTTAAACATAAATATGGTCCTTAAGCCAAGTTCTTAATAGCAAATATATTGATGAATGTAAGGTCTCCCTTTTCCTCTTGCCTCTGATTTGCTCTCTGGGAACCATGCCATGTTGAAAGTGGATCACGTCAGAAAATTGAGGGAGTGAGGAGGGCTATGGCAGCTGTATCTCTATTCTGATTTTGCACATTTTGGTCTAGTTGTATGACTACTGAAGAAAGACACAGAGTTTCAGTGTTTCCTTTTCACCTTCCATATGGTGAAGAACACCAAGGGGTGGGGACAGCAGGGAGTAGGGGGGACCTGCAGGGCAGGTTCAGATAATTCTGATCAAAAAATATACGGTCATTTTGGTGCACCACAGTTCAGCCACACTTTCTGCCGCTCAGTGCAGCACTTGCAGACTTTTCATTACAGACAACTTGGGGCTTTCCCATGAGCCAGAAGCAGCAAATTAGGTTGTCAGAGTCTTGGACAGATGAAACCCCCAGCAGGGGGGGAAGGAGAGGGGCAGCTAGGGGATGTCACTCGTTCGGATGAAGGACAATGTGCTGCAAAGGCCAGCAACAATGCCTAGATGTCTTTGTGCCTGCAAAATCTGCCCCTCCACTACCCCTCCCTGTACTGCTCAAGTAGGAGGAGGTGAGGAGGCAATTCTAAGGCTGCTCCTTTGCTACCACCAAATATGGTGGTGGTAGGGGAAGGGGACAGCACAGGGGAAGGGGACAGCATATGCAGAGCTATTGTAACAGGGAGGTGTGTTCTCTGCTTCTGTATATTATGACAGGGAAGCAGCCCTGTCCCTAATCCAATGCATTTCTTTTAAAACCCCAAACTTATTTATAATTGTCAATTCGGAAACTGTAATAGGTGACCTTACAGATGTCAAACGCATTCAAGCTGAAATGCAGATGTTGGTACAGATGGCACTGAGCATGATTTAGTCATGGCAACAGCAAAAATATGTGGGACACCATTCCTCGTATCGCTCTTCAGTATAACATGTTTTCCTAACCCTGTAATGTTATTTGTGGACTTTCTCCATACCATCATCTGAATGTAGTATTGCCATCTTACTCTGAGAAGTTCATATAAAAGATTCATTTAATGATTTGAACTGAAAAGGCTGTTCCTAAGAATGGGGTTTGTATCAACTCCTGGTATAAAAAGAACTTTTTTCCCTTCATATTTGTTATATGCGTTTACTTTATAGGTGGCCAGTGAATATTTCCATCCTCAGTAAGAGGTTCCAGGGACTTTTAAACTTTGGCTTGTGCTAGAAGGAACTTGTACATATTTAAAAAGAAAAAAAGCTCATGAAATATGTGTTCAGGGAACACAGATGTTTTGTTCTAGTCCCCATGCCACTGTTGGCTGATGTTAACAGGCCTCAACTCATTCTGAGCACATGCCTGGGGTAGGGAAGTTTATTTTATGCCTGTTGCTGATGAGGAGCCTTGAGCACAAGAGCTGAAGAGCTGAAGTCAGTGGCTCAGCCATAATGGCTCTGATGTGGTGCTGGCTGTGGAGGCTGAGATCTGTCTCTGAGCCTACCCAACCTGAGTGAGGTTGGGTCTGTGTTGCATGATCCCCACAGCAGGTCTTGGCCACGACATGGCAGCATCTCACTCATGCCCTGTGAGCTGACTGTGCCTCCTCTGATGACCCTCTCCTGGCTTTGGACTTTTTAATGTGAGTAATTTTACTGCTGTGGCTGTGCCTGGTAGATCTTTCCAGATAGGCTCCGTTGTCTTAATTTTTCACCTCTATCCTGATCACGCCTGCACTGGCACTCAAGACAAGTCAGTTCAAGAAGCTGAACAGGTTGAAAATAATTAATTTGTCCTTTTTTCCCCCTTCCTGCTCTCTTCCTTTATGTTTGTTTTGGAACTGGGGGAAATCTGGTGCCAGATTACACCCAGCTGGTAGGGATCCACAGCCTCAGGGAACCAGGGTCTGGGTCTAGTTTCCACACTACCTGGATTTGCACAGCTCAGCCTGTCCAAAGCAAAACTATGTGTGATGTCTTGGAAATTCGGGGTCAAAATCTGAGTGTTTTTTTTTTTTTTTTTTTTTTTTACATTTCCAACTACTTACTGCAATGAGTTTTTTTCTTGACTAGGATCAAACTACCCATGTAGCATGGAGGACACAGAATTTTTCTGCATGCAATCATGCCAGATGTTCAGACTAAGGATGTTGTGAGTAATGTTAAGAGTATCTGTTTGGTTTTTTAAAGTAGATCTGCATATGCTTATTTATCCTGTCAAAAGTTGGAGAACAGATGGTCATGAAAATAAAGTTATTCTAATTTTATAAGTCTGCCCTCATATTTGAAAAAACCCTATCATCACCTTCATCCTGAAGAATGTTGAATCTCTTCTGCAATCTTCCCATATGTGCTTATTTTGCAGAAAACATAGTTGACTTAAAAAATTGCCAACTCAGAAGTACTTTTTTATTGAGATTGTGACAATGTTAACAGCATCGTTACTGAATAAAATGCTTAAACCTGTTTATTTTGATGGTATAAAACCTGCCTCCTAGATGATGAAATCCTTCAGCTGAATGGTTTGCCTTGCAAGCGTTATTCTTTTCTAGGAGAATTTGTTTGCTATAAATTGTCGTAAACAATCACACATTCTCGAGTGAGAGATCACCTGCATTTTGAGCAGAGCATGGTCACATCAAACATGGTCATACACCATGAATTATCTTGGAAAAACTATCCCTAATAGCACAGTGCCATAGGGTGTGGGAGGCATTTTAATTCAACTGACACGGGAGAGTCTTGACTTCACTGCACTATTTCAAAATGCTTAATTGCTTTAGGCATCGATATGTATCACTCAATAACTAGAACACCCAGAGCACCAGTCTAAGACTCTAACTTACCTCATATGATGTTGGGGTACAGTTGGATACCTGTTATATTGGATAAAATGCCTTCTAACAGAATGAACTATGTGTAAGATGTTTCCATGTGTTGAGTGCAGCTACTACACAGCACACAGAGGGGCTGAGGGGGAGAAACACTGACCTTCCTTTTCTAAAAGGCTGCTAGTCAGGACAGGAGAGTGTGTTTGCTCTCTCTCCCACATGCTGGTAGAAAGGACAGTAAATGGTGAAATACAAGTTGGTTTGGGTTTCTTTTGTATTTTTTTAAAGGTAGGGTCAAAACAGACATGTTTGCCACAGAAGCAGAATTATGAAGTTATTTACTGAATTATTAATTATTAACTGTACAACTTCCATTACTTTTACAACACACAGACTGAAGAGCTTTACTTATTATCACTAAAACAGTAGTACTTAAAGCACTAACTAAACCCTGAACCTTTTCAAATTTAGAGGTTGTGCACAATGATTATATTTTCAAAGCGGCTTTCTGAATTTGATACATGGTTCAGACTTAGATTTTATTTTTCAATACATATCTTATACATTCTCACTTTTACAGGAGTGCTATTAATAAACACAATAATGTGCAATAGGCAACACAGCACAATAGCTTGGGTTTTTAATTGTAAAAATAATTTTAATACTTGTTTTGTAATAATTTTTAAAATATATTTTAACTGCATAGATAAGAAAACTTCTGGTACCCTTGCATCTCTTACCCATACTCTGAACAAGGTATCAGGGTCCTTTTTTTGGTTTGATTTTGCACATATAATACAGTACCTGTATCTTCTGCCGTATGCGTGTTTACTCAAGTATTACATCAGTATACTCGATCAGCCATTGGGGTTAGTCTTAATTTTATCAGGCTAATGGATAAGCTCTAGCATGTCTTTCACAATCATGCTTAGCACCTAATGTAAAGGTAAGAAGTGAAAAAAAGAAATAGACTGCTGGAGTCAAAGATTAGGCATCCCTCCTAACTCTCCTCAGTCTTCATGTGCAAGATAAAACCTATTGCTTTTACACAGTCGCCAGAAGCTGTTTACGTCTGTAATTGTGGAGCATGCTTTGCTCTGACTTAAATCACATCTGCTTGGGCTTTCTGCTTTTTCTGGTGGCTTTTTTTTTATTTTTTTTTGGTATTTTGCACCTCAGATAAATAAAAAATCCCAGATGACTGTGTACTGTTGCTAACTGGCTAGTGGGTATGAACACATTACGTATAGAAATAGAACTAGACCAAAATCTGCATTATAAGAGGTAATTAAAATCACTACTGCTGATGTGGTTAATGCTATTAAAGCATTAGCAATAGGTCAGGACCTGCTCCAACCAGCAGCTCTATTCATTCACCAAAACAGTGCCTTTCCATAAAAAGTGATGAGTGCAGAAGTGCCTTAATAAACTGTGGGAGGGGATGAAAAATACCTTAACACACTTTCAGAGGGGGTGAGTGACAGTTTCAGAGGGAATGAGTGACACACGGTGCTATGAGAGCAGTCACTGGTGCTGCTGTTAGCAAGACGAAGCCATGATACTCTTAAGCATTTCATTAATTAAAAATAAATGCGTATTAGGAAGATCTGCAAATCCCAGGGGTGTAAAAGAAGAATGTTTGTTGAATTTCTGAGCATGGAAATAACACTGCAAGTCCTTGTGAGACAGGAAAAAGCACAGCTGCTGCTTTGATTTCCCTAGGGTTGCAATGGGCATTAAAGTAGGTGAGAGATGCATGGCCGGGGGAAAATTTTGCCCTGAATTTTTACAATTTAGAGAGACATTGTCAGGTCAAATATGCTATGCAATGAAGTGTTATTAAAGGCAAATCCCAAAACCTTTCCTTCTGAACTGAAAATTTAATAAAGGGTTCACTCGTTTCTTTCTCTCTTTCTCTCATAATCTACCAATAACACTTCCCCTCTACTCCACTCTCATCATATCCCACCTGCAGTACTGCATCCAGCTCTGGGGACCCAGCATGGTAAGAACATGGACCCATGGGAGTAAGTCCAGAAGAGGGACACAAAGATACTCAGATGGCTGGAGCACCTCTCCTGGAAAGACAGGTTGAGAGAGCTGGGGTTGTTTAGCCTGGAGAAGGCTCTGGGCAGATATTACAGCAGCCTTCCAGTACCTAAAGGAGGCTGGCTTACAAGAGAGCTGGAGAGGGACTTTTGACAAGGGCATGTAGTGAAAGGACAAGGGGGAATGGCTGTCAACTAAAAGAGGGCAGGTTTAGAACTGTTTCCTCCCTCTTCCACCCACCCTCACAGCCAGGCCTGGCCCTGGATGTGGCCGTATTCTATGGGCCCATGAAACATGAACTGAAAGACAACAGACATATTCTGAAACAAAGAATAAAACCAAACACTGCAGAAGGGTAATTTTAAATAGCATGACATGAGATATAATTTATAGGGATAATCAAACAAAAGGTTCAAAATTTGACTTACTGTAGAGTTTCCCTTAAATAACACTAATTTTATAATTATAAAGATAACAGTATTAAACTGTAAGTAAATCTGAGGTAAGAAAGTTTATCTGCTCAAGTCATCGAGAAAGCATATAGTGAGCTTCCTAATTAACTGTAATAAAATTCTTCTTTTTTTCGGGACTACTGGCAATAAAAGTAGAAGTGCTGAAGGAATTTCCAAGTAAAAACACATTTACTAACAGTCTTATTAATATGCCAATTCTTTATTGCATGTAGTACCTCAGCATAAGTTTACAGGACCAAGGAATTTTTATTTTGAAGTGCACTTCCCCTTAGTAGTAGCATCTATGTGTATGTGTGTATACATGCATTTGTCCCAAACAGGGATAACCTTCTCAACCTTCTCCTCCCAATTCCCTTCTCTCCAAACAGGAATTGCATCTTCAGCCTCTATCATAACAATACTAACAAGCCTTTGAAAAATGTCTTCCATCCTCTCGTCATAAAGAGTTTGAAAGCTGAGCAGACTTTGAAACACATCCTAAAAACATTTTTTATGTTCTGATAAAGATTTTTGCTGCAGGACTGATGGACCCTTTAAAACACCAATGGTTGTATTAAACAAGATCAAATTTATTTGCCTCCTCCCCTCCAAACATACTGCTCATGGTGCAGTTTGAGCAACTGCAGGATTAACAAAAATATTAGAAGAATTGCAATTCCTCCTTCAGATTTTGAAAAGTACTGTTCCTGAATTTTCTCTTACTCAGCTACCTTCAAATTAATATCAGTAAAGTATCAGTAACAATGCACATCCCCCACCCCAGCTTAATTAAATCATACATTCAATTCATCAAGTATTCCACTGTTCTCAAAGAACTACAAAATATCTCTTCTCTAGTAGATAAAGAGCAATTACCATCTCATGGGACAGATCAAACACCAACTGACCAAGTTACAAAGTAAGTTGTTATAACTAACTTGGATATTAAATATACTCTAACATAGACAGATATCTTGCTAAAATAGATATTTTCCTCTTCTTTTATAATAAAATAACTTATTTTCTCATGCCTAAATCTCTCTTCCAGTTTCATTTTCAAAAGACCCAAGAAAAACAGACCATGACTGAGCTTTTAGAAAAGCATTACTAACTTTTTTGTCTCCATACATAAAAGTCACCCTCATGTGCTGAGGCCATCCCAGGGATTCTGTACAACAGTGCAGTGGGACAGCATAACCAGCCATGCAAAGGAGCCACTACAATAGTCCCTCTCCTTGGAAATACTGGTTATTGTGTTCTTAAGACCCTTTCCCCTTACCTTTCACAGGCAGAACTGAACGAATCTCTTTTTATTTTGTTTTCCTTCTTAACAGCCACTTTCTCTAGATCTGACAACTCTGCCTGATCAGATAATGAATGTTTACATGTGACGGTCATTGTTTCCAAACTGCTCCATTGTTCTTAGTATCGGGGTGAAGCCTCGATGCTTCTCAAGACAAGAAAGCAACAGCAGAGGAAGGAAGGGTTTCCTGCCTGATGAGAGCAGTCCTGTTTAAATCAGAGATCATTCAAACATATGCGCGCAAAACACTGGAACAGATTGCCTGGCTCTGCCTTGCATAATATTACCAAATCCCAGTGAACCGTATTCAATAAGATAGGGTGAGATGATACTGTAGTGCTGGCAACACAGCAGCGAAGGAATGATCACAAACTGTCCTTTATTTGTTTGCCCCTCCGGAAAAACATTTGTTCTGTTGCCATCCTCTGCCCCGCTGCATTTCTTTGAATGTGCTAAGTCGGTTGAGAGATTTTGGGTGCAAATTTACAGCCTGGCTGTCGTGTAGATTTGGGTTGCTTTGCTGATCAGAGAACAGTACGTATTTTATTAATAAATGTGTTTATCCTCAGCTTTAGGGTTTATATCTGCAGCAGGAGTGGGTTTCTTCTTTAAATTCATACACCGCGACATCAGTGATGCTTAGGCACTTGACAACATGGTAGATGTGAAGATCTGCTGCAAAATCTGGGGGATCTCTTTGGTATCCATGGCAATAAAAGACCGACCTGCTGGTAGCATCCTCTGCAGCCTAAGGAGCAGAATGAGAGACAAGACACAATTACCATCTCAAATTATCTTTCCTACCACAAGCCAGGGTTCCTTAAGAACGGATGTTTCCCCTTTGAATACCTTCCCAATTCATGCCATTCACATTGCTGTCACCATGCAATTAAAAGTTTGGGAAAGCAGCAGTGGGAGGAAATGCTAAGAGCAGCTAGGGCACAGAGATCCTTTCAGCAAGACAAACAAGAATGTTTCCAGAGATTTCTATCCAGATCCTCTTTCTGACGTGACAGAACTCCATTTTGATTAAGGTATCAGTGACCCCATGAGGTGTCACCAAACTGGCTTGCTGATGGCAGCTAGAGATTTACATTGGAAATGAAGACACTCTAAATCGACTACCATGAACCCTCAGCTCTTTCAGTTCAACAGCTCCAGTGATTCTAAATGTGCTCTTTATATTTCTTCTCTGAGGTTGCAGCAGATTAGATGGAAATGTATTTTTCTCCCAATATTAATCAAACACGTTTTTATTCCCAGCTTAACCTCCCTTAAAAAAGTTAAACTGGACACATGTTACAAACTCCATCTCCCTCACATACGGTTCGCAAGTTTGGGATTTATTTTTCACTGCTTTTTAAAGGAATTTATACTCCACATCATCCCTCCAATGGTAAGCAAAGTCTCACTTTTAAAATTAGTTGTTAAAAAAGCAGTAACAGAGAATTCCCTTCTCCTTCCCCCACAGCAGTTACAGGAAGGCTTTGTGTAATTCTGGGTTTCCACGTACATAGAAATGCATTTCTGTGACAGCATTGTGTGCACTTTGCATACCCAGTGAACTAGGCTATTATAAAGCTCTTACACAGCAAGATATAGTCAATGCCTTTTTTTTTCCCAATTCCTAGCAAAAGTAAAAGGACTTTCTGTAATTATCATCTTTCAAAATGGATTATCTTTTGATACACAACACAACTCTGATGTACAGACATGCAGCCACAATGATGGCTGTGCAGCTGTATCTTTCAACCCTTTACTGATTAAAATTATGTACTGAGGGCCAATTCCTTTTGGGATTTCTCTCATTCTGCTCTGGTTGAAGACTCAAGAAGAAGCAGAAAAAACAGTGTTGATATATGTGGCTATACTGGATTTTTGCTGCATGTACTTGTCCTCAGTGGATGTTGAACCTGGAAGGACACTTGGGATATCATTTCCTTTTTCTCCCTTGTGCCCAAGCAACTGAAAGTGAAATTATGTAGTAGAACTAAACCCAGACTATTAAACTCCAGCTTCTTTTGTTTTATTCTCTTTTCTTAGGCCTACATGTATTGGAACCACACACTGGGCAATGACAAAGGCATCCTATCTCTGTTATGATTACATACTGATATTACATAAGGGGATAGTGCACATCCTCCACTGGGAGGATGGCTTCAGCTGCCCCCTTCGGATGCACAGAATGCCCTCAACGAGCTGGCCACAAGGGATGTCTGTGGGACTCACAAGCCAGTCTCCTTCCTGACACAAGTCAGAAGCTAGAGCTTCTCACTAGTAGATTAATAATAATAATCAAAAAAAAGGATGAAAACTTGGACATGACCTGGCAATGTGTCCTTGCAGCCCAGAAAGCCAATTATAACCTGGATTTCTACCATCAAAAGAAGCGTGACCAGCTGGTCAAGGGAGGTGATTCTGCCCCTTACTCCACTCTTGTGAGACCCCACCTGGAGTGCTGTGCACAGCTCTGGGGTCCTCAGGACAGGAAAGATAGGGACCTGTTGGAGAGGGTCCAGAGGAGGACCACAAAAATGGACAGAGGGGTGGAAGACAGGTTGAGAGAATTGGGGCTGTTCAGCCTGGAAAAGAAAAAAGTCCAGGAAGACCTTACTGAGGCCTTTCAATAAATACAAGGACAGAGTGAGACTTTTCACCAGTACAGACCCCTTTTCACAGAGGGACCTGTAATGATAGGATAAGGTTTAGCAGTTTTAAACTGGAAGATGGTAGATTTAGATTGAAGATATGGAAGAGATTTTTATAATGAGGGTGTTGATGCACTGGCACAGTGCATCATTACCCCGAGAAGCTATGGATGCCCTGTCTCTGCTAGTGTTCAAAGTTAAGTTGGATGGGGCTTTGAGCAATGTGATCTAGTGGAAGACATACCTGTTCATGGCAGGAGGATTGGAACAGATGATATTTAAAGGTCTCTTCCAACCCAAACCATTCTATGATTTTATGATACCGCGCTCAAAACCTTAGTGCACAACAGCAGCAGGGCCAACTATGCCAAACTTCACTGCAATACAAGCATAGTTTATATTTATGACATTTGAAAGCAAATGGTACTAGGCATAAAACAAATGTACTCACCTGTCTGCCTGGTCTCCTAAAGATCCTATAAATATGGCAAAAGCATTGACTTGAGTATTGGTGGTCAAGACCTGGGCAAACCTTGAAGGCTGAATACCATATCGTTCAAGATTTGCATCGCTTAAGACGATAAC